CTACACCCACTCCTTAATCCCAAGCAAACGCTAATATCTAGTTCCTATCATTTTGTCATTTCAAGAATGTTATATGGTAAATGGAATCAGATGTAGAGACTCTTAGGGTTGGATTTTTCCACTTAGCCAAATTCTCCAGAGGTTCATTCAGATTGTTGTGTGTGTCAGTAAATGTTCCTTTTAAGTGGTGAGTGGTGGGTATTCCATGGTATAACTGTACCAATTGGTTAACCATTCATTCGTTGAAGATATGTAGGTTAATTCCAGTTTGGACTATTGAGAAAAACTCTGCTCTATTTTCACCCAGGTCATAGTTTTTCTTTTCCACTCTTTCTCAGGATATACATTTTTTAATTTTGACAACATCTAATTTATTACTCTTATTTTCTAAATTACGCTTTTGAAGACATCTAAAGTCTTTTTGCTTAGTCTGACTTCCGAAAGGTTGTGGCCTATATTTTTTTCTAAGACATTTATAGCTTCATGTTTTACATTTAAGTTCATGATCCATTTGGAATTAACTGCACATGAGGTGTGCGGCTGTTGGGTTCATCTTTTGACCTGTAGAAGAGCAATTATTCCTCCAGCTTTCTTCCCTCCATTGAAATACTTTCCACCTTATTAAAAAAAGCCAGTTGGGTATATTTGTGTGAATCTATTTCTTAATTCTCTATTCTGCTTCACTGACCTATGCATCTTTCCCTCCTCCAATGCCACACAGTCTTGACTACTGTACCTGTATAAAGAGTCTTAAAATTGGATGGAATGATTCCTTCCACTTCATTCTTCTTTTCAAAATGTGTTAGCTATTCTAGGATCTATATTTTCCATATAAATTTTAAAAATCCTATCAATGTCTAAAAATAAAAAAATCTTAACTACTAGTAGCTTTTGCTAGGCACTGCATTAAACCTATCAATTTGAAGGGAATTGGCATATTTAGTATATCGTCTTTTCTGAGTTACAATATAATATGCTTCTCCATTTATTGAAATCTTATTTGATTTCTTCCTTCAGCATTGTGTAGTTTTCAGCATAAAAATCCTGCATATGTCTTGTTAGTTTTATGCTTAGATATTTAAATTTTTGAGCAATTTTAAATGGTTATATATTTTAAATTTTGATGTCTTTATTGTTAATATATAGTAGTATGATTGAGTCTCTGTATGTTTCTCTGATGAACTATTTAGTTATAGGAGGGTTTTTGTTTGTTTACTTTAAATAGATTCTTTGGGATTTTCTATGTTGATAATCAAGTTATCTGCAAATAGAGACCTATTTTTCCTATTTGTTTTTATCAAGAAAGGGTGTTAAATTTTATCAAATGCCTTTTCTGAAACAATTGATGATCATATGTTTTCCATATTTTAACCTGTTGTTATGATGGATCATCTGGGATTTGTTTTAATATACAATTGCTAAGAACAAAACCAACAGTGTTACATTGTCATTGAATCAAGACTTACCATCTCTTTAAAAAATCTTTATTGTTCAAAGTATTACATATGTCCCCTTTTAAGGCTTGAGCTAGATCTGCTCCAGCTCCTAAGAAGTGCACCTCCCTGAGGGTGATGGGCCCTCTTAGGGACCTGGGGGACATTTGTGTGGCAGATGACTTCCTCTTTACCTGAAGTTTGCTAACATGATCAGGCTACATGACCAACACTGATGGACATTGCCCAAAAGAGGGTTGTGTCTGCTAATTTTTTTCTCCTTCACCATTCTCTTTGCATCACACACACACACACCACCACCACCACCATCATCATCATCCTATATAAAAAAGAAGTAATATTCACATTGACTCTCACACCCTCACACGATGGCTGCCTATGACCAGACCATCGGGGGGTTAGTGAGGAACGACCAAATGACTGAACAGCAGGCTGTGTGGGATGACCAGGCCAGCAAGCGGGGGGGGGGGGGCAGTTGGGGACAACCAGGCTGGTTGGGGGAGCAGGGGAAAACTTGGGGGTGACCAGGCTGGCAGGGAGGGGGAAGTTGGGGGCAACCTGGCTGGCAGCAGGGGGCAGTTAGGGGTGATCAGACTGGCACACAGAGGTAGTGAGGGGTGATCAGGCCAGCAGGGGGGGCAGTTAGGGGTGATCGGACAGGCAGGCAGGTGAGAGTGATTAGGAGCCAGTGGTCCAGGATTATGAGAGGGATGTCCAACTGCCGGTTTAGGCCTGACCAGCAGTCAGACATCCCTCAAGGGGTCCCGGATTGGAGAAGGTGTAGGCTGGACTGAGGGGATCCCCACTCTGTGCACGAATTTTGTGCACTGGGCCTCTCGTTATTAATAATATGGTCAGACTCATTTGAGAATACCAGAATATTTGCACATTGCCTTTATTGCACAGGAGGTCCTTCATTTGCATTTTATAGATGGGACTAGAAGAAAAGTCATCATGTTTCTCCTCTGGCCTAAACCCAGAAGTCTGAAGCATACGATTTTATGTGAATTTATCTGCACATGGTCGCTGGCTGAAGGAGAGCAGTAAAAATGCACTGGGCCTTCAAGCTGGCAGACGTGAAGCCAGAGCTACCCTGGAGAGAACTGACAGGGTCTCAGGTCTGTGTTTTGTCTTTTACCAGTAATCTCCTCTGACACAAATAGAGGACAGTTCTGACGGCTTTAATGATGAAGGTTCTATAGACTAAAGCTAAGGCTCTCTAGATATTTTTAAAAGACTAATATTTTCTTTTGAGATTTTACCTTTTGCCTCTAGAGTAGTACTTATAGAGTTTTCTTCCACTCTCCTAACTGAGAAATGTGTAATATAACAGACTCTCAGCAGAAATAAAAGTCTTCTTATTGGTCCTATTTAAAAGAAAAACACAGTAAAGCCCTGGTTTTACAGCTAAACCCTTTCCTCTCATTCTGCAGCCCCTCAGAACCCATGTTTAGTGGGTGAAATAATGGATTATACTTCTGAATAACAAGTTGCAAAGGGCCAAAAAGAGTAAGATTAGTGCTTAGCACTTACTGCCAAGGAAAAACTTGGGGGAATTGCTTTGCTTTTTTGTTTTGTTTTGTTTTGTTTTTTTGTTTTGTTTTTTTGTTTTGTTTTTGTTTTTAGCAAAGAATTTTTAAATCCCAAACTGTTCCTAAAAGGGAAAAGACTGCCTTATTAAGAGCTTTTCTATTTCTCAATTCAGATTTGGCATAATGAGAGATTATGACAAATGTCCAAATTAGTATAAATAATCTCTCCACTCTTACTTGGTGGCTTCATTAAGTTTTTTTTTTTAAAGTAAAAGAAACAGAACAAAAAAATAAATGCATTGCAAGAGGAAAGACCTTTAATTGAAATTAAAGTGTAACCTTCAAAATATCTAATTTCTTTGTTCTATGTAAATGCCTACATAGAGGCAAAAATGCTTTTAAGTTTTTCAAATGTCAACCCTAAGCACAGTTGCACATATTTATTGGAAACTAGGTCTTGGTATAAAAAATGCCCAGAGTGCCTGTAGACTCAGAGGGTCCTGGAAAAAAAAAGTTAATAACCTTCTTTTCATGTTACTAAAAATGACCCAGGCAAGGCATTTCAGACACCTGCAGGAAGCAGCGAGCTCCCTGAACCCTCAGCTCAGAGAGCCAGGCCCCTTCTGCTTTCATCTCATCTTGCTAACCTTTGCAAAGACATTTGTTGCACTGAAATTGATCGCCAGCACACTTGGCAATTCAAATTGCATGAGACGTTTCTTCTTTCTAAATTCCATTAACCAAAAAGAACGCCATGCAATCTGGGGAAGCCCCTCGGTGGGACCTCAGGTGCTGTGGGACTAGCTCGGACTTTGTGATCAAGGCTCCTTCTTCTGTGAATCTAATGAGCACTGACAACAGCTTCTTGGCTTCTAAAACACACACCCGTGCCCGGATCTGGATTCCAAAATTCGAACCATTTAAAAAACACGCTCTTAGTATTTCCGGGTACTTACAAAATGCGTTGTTCTCTTATCTTCCTTGTAGACATGCATATAAGTACAACCAATGTACACAAAACTCTGGGGAGGGAGGGTATGTATGGGGCGGGGGCAATGTTAAAATATGTACACAGATAATAATTTAATTTAAAAAATGGGTTGTTCTGCAGAAATAGAGGAGCTCCAGTAGGAGAATTCACTAGCCCAGTGGTTGGCAAACCGCGCGACTCACGAGCCACATGCGGCTCTTTGACCCCTTGAGTGTGGCTCTTTCACAAATACCATGGCCTGGGTGAGTCTATTTTGAAGAAATGGCTTTAGAAGAAGTTTAAGTTTAAAAAATGTGGCTCTCAAAAGAAATTTTAATCGTTATACTGTTGATATTTGGCTCTGTTGACTAATGAGTTTGCCAAACACTGCACTAGCCCATCCATCAACAAGTATCTTTTCTCCAGGACCTATTGTCCCTGGATGAAGTGAGGACCTGCTCTGTAATCTGTGAAAAAGGTGCTGGTACCCTTGGTGTCTGTGGATTCGGAGGGCCTTTGAAATTCTTTTCCAACCCCTTTCTACAGAACCTCACTCAGCCACAAAGAACAGCCATTGTCATGGTGATGGGGGGGAGGGGAGAGGGTTGGGGGAGGGGAGGGGTGGAGGAGAAGAGCAGAGAATGCGGGTAAGCAGGGAGATCTGTGCTTGGGGCTCCTGGAAACTGAAACGGGGGTTCCTTAAGGCCACAGAGCATTCTGGTTCTCTCCAAGCCAGCTGCACACGCTCCTGCTGTGTGGGTGGACACATAATTGTGACTTGGGAAAGGCAGGCCTGACACCCACGTATGCTATTTAAGCTGTGGAGTCAAAGGGGTTGGGGAGTCAGGGCAAGGGGAACAGAGGACATCTCAGCAGATAGGAAGGGTGTGTTTCTGTCTTTCCCACCTTTAGTGAGAGCTTCCGAGAGGAGACAAGACAATCGGAAAACAAGTCCTCTGATTGTGGCCCTGCTGGCCCAGGCCAACCTTAACCTGCAACGTGTGCTCCTCGCTCACTGAGTGTGTTTCTCTCTTTCCTCCCCAGGACAGCTTTCCCGCCCGCTTCGGAGGCGTCCATTTCGTCAACCAGCCCTGGTACATTCACGCCCTGTACACACTCATCAAGCCATTCCTTAAAGACAAGACCAGGAAGCGGGTAATGACAAGAAGCACCCAATGCTGGGAATGTGGGGGAGGTGTGTGTGTGTGGGGGGGGGAGATGGGACAATTATAGTGCCCCTGCTCTCCATCTCTCTCTCTCTCTCTCTCTCCCCCCACTTTTCTTATTTTTCTCTGTGGTTTTTCTGCGTTTCTGCAGTCCCTGAGCTTTTGAGCTGCAGCTGGAGTTTGCAAATGGCCTGGATTCAATCAATAATTTAGTAGAACTGGGTTATTTTCAGAGTCCCAGTGACAAACCAAAGGGAATTTTGAAGGCATGCAAATACCAGATGCCCATGCTGTTGCCAATGCTTGTGGGAGGTATGGGGTCAAGCAGCTTCCTGTTTATGGAATATTTTAATAGCCAACATTTAGGAAGAAGTCACCCCTTGGTGTAGGCCTGGGAGTAATGAGGAATATTGAGGGGGAGGGGGGTTTGCAGAGGGCAGAGAATGCACCAGGAGAGAGGAGAGAGCAGTGTGGAGGTGCCTATGCAGCATGCGGGGGGGGGGGGGGGGGGGGTGCTGGGAGGGAGGGCGGGGGGGAATGGGGCGGGGGGGAATCTGCACCACTACATTTATCAGCAGGATAATTAGGAGATCCCCGTATCCGTAAATTGGGGCCAGGGCCATATCCTACCCAAATTGTTCATAAACTTCCTTTTTAAGGACTGTGAGTGCAGCCCCTTTTCTGAGCAATAAATGAACATTTCACGAAGACAAAGTTCAAGACACAGAACTGAATGTCTCCTTAAGTACCCTGATCAGCAGCACCACATCTGATGCGTCATCGCTTCTTTGTGTATCAGGTGAAATACTCCGTCCATACGTTTTGGAGTTTTTCATGGCTCACTACTTTTTCTTCCCAGATTTTCCTGCACGGGAACAATTTAAACAGCCTCCACCAGCTCATCCACCCGGAGTTCTTGCCCTCCGAATTCGGGGGAACCCTTCCTCCTTATGACATGGGAACCTGGGCCCGGACGTTACTCGGTCCCGACTATAGCGATGAGAACGACTACACGCACACGTCCTACAACGCGATGCACGTGAAACACACATCCTCCAACCTGGAGAGGGAGTGCTCGCCCAAGATGATGAAGAGGTAAGGCCCGGCTCAGCAGAGCCTCCAGTCCGAGGTCAGCAGGCGTCTTTGATTTGGGTCTATTGTGAGTTAAGTCATTGGAGACCTTTCCGGGCACAGAACTTAAAAAAAGTAAATTGCGATACATTCTCCGCTGCTTTCATCAGAATTGGAAGCAAATGGGACTTGGCTGGCCCAGAAACATAGCTGTCCCCTCGTGTTATAGAAACTGTTAAAGGCTAGGACCTCCCTCACGGCAGGATTACAGTCCTAGTCTCTAAGGAGCCTGCTAATGCCACAGACTGAAATGGTGGACCGCTGAGACACAGTGGATGGAAAGGCAGGCCACTAGAGGATGTCCTCGTCACCCGTGCGTTTGGAATCATTTATTGAGCATTTACTTAGCTGAAGGCGCTGATTAGTCCCTGGGAATACAAAGGTGAAGAAGATATCAAAAGAACAGAGTAGGCCTGGAGAAAACCCGCTGAGCAAGACATTGGAGCTGAGATCTGAAGGAGGAAAATCAGCAGCCCAGGCTTAAAAGGGGGAACGGGGGAAGGGGGGTAAAAGGCTCCAAGCAAAAGGGACCTTCAGAGGCATGGAGGCACTAGAGCAGTGTTCTCAACCTTTCTAATGCCGCGCCCCTTTAATACAGTTCCTCATGCTGTGGTGACCCTCAACCATTTTGCTACTGTTAATGAATCTTAATGTAAATATCTGTGTTTTCTGATGGTCTTGGGCGACCCTGCTAGCGGTTCTCAACCTGTGGGTCGCCTAAGACTACAGGTTGAGAACTGCTGCTATACAGCCTAAGACCATCAGAAAACGCAGATATTTACATTACAGTTCACTAACAGTAGCAACATTACAGTTATGAAGTAGCAATGAAAATAATTTATGGTTGAGGGTCACCACAACATGAGGAACTGTATGAAAGGGTCTCAGCATTAGAATGGTTGAGAAGCACTGCACTAGAGGGATGGGACACTTGACTGAGGCAGACAGGAATGCAGGGGTCGGGGGTGACAGTGCACGTGTTCTCAAGTGCCCGAGACTGTTCCATCCAGGTGGTGAAGTGCATTGCATCTCTGCATACTGTGCCATGGAAGAGGTATTTTTAAATTGATGTACAAATAACATATGGGGGGTTTCTCATTGCAAAAAAAAAAAAAAAAAATGAAACCTTATATTTAAGGCTAAATCCCCCTTCAACCACTATCTTTAATCCAGATCCCTCCCCATAAGTAACCACTGGTATCAGGCTGGGGTAGACCCTTCCATTCAGTGGTCTAGGTAGTTCAGTGTTTGAGTTTACTAGGGCTGCTGTGACAAAGTCTACAGACTACGTGTCTGAAACAATGGAAATGCAGTTTCTCACAGTTTTGGAGGCTAGAAGTCCAAGATCAAGGTGTTGGCAGGGTTGTTGTCTTCTGAGGCCTTTCTTCTTGGCTTATAGATGATCCTGTTCTCCCCGTGTCTTCATATAGTCTTCCCTCTTTTTATATGGACACCAATCCTATTGAATTAGGGCCCACGTCACTTGATCTTAACTACATGTTTAAAGATTCTGTATCCAAACAGAGAGAATTGGAGGTTTTGGGGGTTACAACTTCAACATACAAATTTTGGGTGGACACACTGTACCCTGTAGCATCTTGTTATGTAATGTCTGTATTAGTAAATTTAGTCAGAGTTCCCGTTTTCAATACTGCGTAGCATTCCAGAACATGAATAAATCAGACTAGCCAATTTCTTTTGATGGGCATTATAGGGTGACTCAGTGACTGTCTTTGATATGCCTCCTCATTCTCATAGGAAAGTCCCTCTGGGTAGACTCTGAACTTGGAAGTTGCAGGGGCAGAAGGTATGCACATTTTCTTCTTCTTTCTTTCTTTATTTCTTTCTTTCTTTTTTTTCTTCTTCTTCTTTCATTTTCTAGCTGTATGATGACACCATTCATACAGTCAAAACATTCAATTCTTGTAAATACCAGGAAGGTTGGGTTAATTTTTGGTGTAGCCTCACCGTGGACAAAGTTGGGCTGAGTATATGTAATCATTCCTGCTCTTCCTTATTTATTAAACTTATCAGAGATCCAGAGAATCATTTATAGAGAAAGGGGCGTAAAGCCTCCAAGCTGTGTCTCCACTGGTTCAAGTAAAGCATGGCCCCAATTCTCAGGTCCACCCTATTCCACCGTATGTGGTCAGTGATTGGAGGTGCCAGCGCTTTGGGTCTGGTCCACAGGTGCCCTGGTAGGATTTCTGGTTGGTTCTTTTGACCAAGTGCTTTCATCCTTATGCTCTCTCAGTATCCCTCATGGATCCTACAAAGGAGAAGTGAGGTGTCATAAAGACATTGTGAGCCATCTGATTTTGGGGGTGAGGATGGAGAAGATAGGAAAAAGCCTAGACTAGGTTCAGAATTCTGAGCCAGAAAGAAATTTTAAGTCTCATTGCCCCACCCTGGTCTCTGCCAGGGTAGTAAAAGTCCGTTTAACTGTTTTCAGCTGCCAATAGGATGGGCCATGACCTTAGTGATCTTTCCGCCCTAAACCCTCTTTTTTACAGGACGCACGTATGCGTTTTCTGGGTAACTGCTCATTTCCGGCAGGAATCATGCGTCATCATGAAGTGCTAGCCATACAGAAAGCAGGAGGGGTGGCCGTGTGGGAACAGGAGGGCCTGTCTTCCACGCAGTCAGGGCATAAAGCGTCCATATGACCGTGTGGCATGGGAACAGATGTCCTGTGTGGATGTTCCATTCAATAAAATGACAAAATGCATCCTTTCTGAATGGATGACCCACAGTCTCAGCTGCCCTCTCCTTGTCATGTGACTGGTTTTCAGGGGAGGGGGGAAAGGAAGTTCTTACTTTTGGGGTGTCGTTCCTACTCAGCAGCTACAGCCTGAGATGTTGCTTCTAAAAGCAAAGACCTCTTGGGTAAGTCATAAAATGCCCGGTGTAGTATGCAGGCTGTTGGACAGGAATTGGTTAACGTTTCTTAAAGAACAAAGAAACAGCTGCTCAGCCTCATCGCCGCCTGAGAATCTTGCTGAGACACAGCTTTCTCTCCTGCAGCAGAGATGCAGGGGCCCTCTCCTTAGGATCCAGCCGTGCACCGTTGGCGAGAAAGGAAATTCTACACAATGGATTGGGTCCCTGAGAAAATGGAAAAAAAAAAAAAACTGGGGGGGAAACACACACTCAAAAAAACCACACATGTGCAGGGCACGTTTCCTCTTTCTTATACAGATTCTGAGATAAAGTGTTTGGAGCTCCCGGCAAAGCGGAAGTAAGATTGGATTAGAGGGAAAGGGACAGATGTGGCTGAGCGGCTTGGGTGCAGGTTCCAGTTCAAACAGTTCCATTACTTCACCGGGTATTGTTCTGAGAAAGATTCCTGTTTGCCCAAGCACCGCGGTCAGTGGCAAGCACTTGAGAAGGGAGGTGTAGTCTAAGCCAGAAAAACAAAAAACGAAGAACCTTTCTGCCTCGTGAGCAGGTTGCTGTTGGTAAACAAGCATTTTGCTGGATTCCAGTAAAGCCCATGCTGTGTATGCCCACTCACCTTCTAGCCGGCATCGAACCTCTCATATGCTTTCATGACCGGAGCGTGTGCTAAAAACCTCTTTGCTGTGTCCGTCTTGAAAAACAGGATGCTGCTTGCATTCAGAATGATGGCTTCTTTTCAGATGTAGGCAAACCCTTGTTGTAGGTAGCATTTGGGCTTGCCGTGTCCGTGTTGTGGTGTTGGAGCTTTTATGCCAAGGCCACAAGTAAGTGCGCTGAGTTTCCAGCATCTCCCTGGAAACCCCTGTGTTCCTGTGACGCCTGCGATCCGCCTGGGAGCCCTGCTTCACTTTGCCCCGCTGCTCAGCCGGGCCTCTGAGGTGCATCACACATCACTACACCCTCACCCTCGCCTGCTGGCTGATGCTTCCTGACTCAGACATGGTGGTTACCCTGTTCTCTTCCTCTCTGTTTCTCTTTATTCCTCAATTTTGTTACATGCGCGGGTTCTTGCCATTTTCTTCTACTGATTGATATATATATATATATATATATATATATATATATATATATATATATAAAATAAATCTTTATTGTTCAGATTATTACAGGTGTTCCTCTTCTCCCCTCCCCCCCCCCCAATAGCTCCCCTCTACCTGATTACCCACCCCACCCCATGCCCTTACACCTGCCACGGTCTTCACTCATAGGAGTAAGGTTTGTCCTCTACAGATTGCTTTAAGTCTGTGACCTTGGGCAAGTCATTAACTCCTCCACATCTTGGCTTCCTCAGTTATTAAGTGGATATAACCCCAGGGGGCCAGTGTTAGAGGGGAGTGACAGAGGCGTGAATAAGTACTCAGTAAGCACTGAAAAGCAGCTCAATAAGGAGTGCTTCCTTCCCCAAGGTTGTACATGAGGGTTTCCATTGTGTTGGTTTTGATTTCATTCCCAATGGAAGTTTCTACTAAACAGTGAAAAGTCCTGAGCCCCCGACAGAGACGCAGGCAATGACTGGGCTTGGTTCCCTGGAAAGGAGCTGCCTTGAATTCCTGGTGAGAAGTCAGACTCACATTCCTGGCCAGGTTGACTCAGTGGCTAGAGCACAGTCCCGCAAACTGAAGGGTCCCTGGTTTGACTCTAGTCAAGGGCACCTGCTTCTGGTTGCAGATTTAATCCCCGGCCCCGTCGGGTGCGTGCAGAAGATAACTAATCGATGTGTCTCTCACATCAATGTTTCACTCTCTGTTGCTCCCCTTCCCTTCCACTCTCTCTAAAAATCAATGGAAAGATATTCCCAGGTGAGGATTAACAACCCACCCCCACCACCAAAAAAATTTTTTTAAATTAAAAAAAAAGGTAAGACTTACATTGGCCAATGCCATTCTGGGCTGCTTTGGGCCAGGATCTTTGGAACCTTGCACCCAGGATGTGGCCAGGAAGAGTAGGTGCAGGACACAAGGCAAAGCCAAAGGGAAGGAGGAATCTGAGACATAGGCCTCTTGCCT